GCCCAAGTATTTAACTCATTAGCTAACTCATCAATTTGATTCATAGTATATGGAGTAATAATTTTATTGGGAGAAATTCCAAGCACTCCCTTTGCTGCTTTTATTCCTTTGAGTATTAATTGTCCTATAGCCTCAGGATACCTAGTAAGAATAGTGTTAGGAGAATAAGATAAATGTATCCATAATAATGGACCTTCTTGCCAAAATACTCTTGTAGGAATATTTTTTGTTGGTTGTACAATAAATAATAAAGGCAAACTTATATCAATTCTATCCAAATGCATATTTTCCATATATGTTTCAATAATTTTTAATGCCTTTCTTGCTTCAGGCGTTAACATTCGGGGTGAATTTGGATCTGATGGACCTTTTAGGATATCAAATAAAGGTCCCAACTCTCCTGTTGGTATACCTAGATAAGGTCTTATCCAATTTATGTCTCCTAATAACTTTTGAAAGTTGTTAAGTGATTTGAGTTGATCTACTCATATTTGAATTTTTGGTGGATGGACCATGGTTGAAGATAATAGAACTCCTAAATAATTAATTGGAAAATTTAATTGTACTTTATCTATTGCTATCTCTAGATTATAATTTTTAAATAAGTTTGTAAGTGTGGCATAACATTCTAGCAATGTGTTTTTATCTTTGTGTGCTAATAATACATCATCCATATAGTGAAATATTTGTAGTTCAGGATTTTGATTTCTAAGTAGCTGGATTACTTTGTTAACATAAATTTGACACATAGTTGGACTGTCAGCCATCCCTTGAGGGAGTACTTTCCATTCATATCTCTGATCAGGACAGCCACAGCCAAAGGGGCCCCAACAAACTTTCAGACTGCCAGCTGATGAAGCATGATACATTTTTTTTTTAGTAAATTTGCATCAAACCTGATGATGAACCTGTACAATACAAACACAAACATGAACTATGAAAAATAAATTTCTTTAATTTAAACCACCTAGACTTTGGTGTTTTGTCCTAACAAACCACCCAATATAAGACTGTATACTTTGTGTACAAATACAAAGACGCACATGTGAGGATGTTCATCATGCCATTGAATTAAATAGCAAATCAATAAGCAGTATGTCCTCGAAGACAAAAATAGTTAAATAAGTTATAGAACAGTCATAAATAGAATATTATGTATGAACTAAAGCAATTCACTCTTACATTTAATATAAATGAATAATTTTATTCATGATATGTTGAATAAAAAATGCAGGTTGGAAAACAACATATTGAGTGAAAAAAATTTTTTTTTTCAAAATTCAAATATGATACTGATTTTAATGCTTCTGATAATCTATGAAATAGATACTGTCAATTATTTTTTAGTCCAGGATCTCTATTTGATATCCTGTTCCTGCCTAGTACCTTGGAGAAAAGGATTAGGTAGAAAGTTGATGGTTTGGGGAAAAGAGAACAAATTTTGAAATTTGCTATCTTTCTGGAGCTGGTATAGAAACTTGCTATGGACTGACTGATGTTTTCCCCAAATTCATGTGAAATCCCTAATTCCCGATGTGGTATTTTGATATAGGATCTACAAGGAAGTAATTAAGATTTAATGACGTCACAAAGGCAGAGACCTTATATAATAGGATTAGTGTCCTTATAAGAAGAGACGTCAGAAAACTAATTCTCTCTCTCTCTCTCTCTCTCTCTCTCTCTCTCTCTCTCTTGCATTTCATTGAATTTTTAGTTTTTTAGTTTTTTTTTTGGTGTGTGTTCCATACCATTGAACTACATTCCCAGCCCCCCAGAGCATATTTTAATAATAATTTGAGCAACTTCTTCTTTATGGGGGGGGGGTAAAATTAACATCTGAGTTGAGACAGTACAAACTGAGAAAAGAGCTGGCATCTTGATCTTGGACTTCCCATTGTCCAGAACTATGAAAAACAAATTTCTTTTATTTAAACCACCTAGACTTCGGCGTTTTGTCCTAACAAACCACACAATATAAGACTGTACTTTGTGTACATTATTTTATGCAATTCTACAATTTGCTCTGAAAAGAATGTATTATTATTTTCCTTCTAGAAGGAGGCCATCCTTCTGTATCAAAGGCAATGATTTGCAGATTCATTCAAGATTCATTCATTCTTACGGATAAAGTTTGAGGGTGAGATTGAAACCCAGATTTGTTAGTTTTTAAAACTGAGCCCTTCAAAGATGACCCACAATGAGAGTGAGAGTTTCCCAAAGATGGTTCTTCTGTGAGAACCAAGGACTTCAGTAAATTTGCCTTGTCTTTACCTCAATGTATTATCTCTGGTGTTCACCATCTCCCTCCCCCCCTTTAAATGCCTTTCCCTATGTTATTTCCTTTACCTTTTGATTCTCTGTTCCTTTATGACCTTTTCTCATTAAAACCAAACCAAAACAAAAAACCTTGCTATCGTCTTTATTGGAGATTAAATATAGTCTAAGAAATGTGTATGGGTGTTAAATTGGCAAGCAGATTTGTGATATTTAATTATATGAGCCAATTTGACTGGGTCATGGGATGCCCAGACATTTGGTCAAACATTTTTTTTCTGGACATATCTATGAGGATATTTATTGATGAGATTAGCATTTGAATTGAGATTAAGTAAAGCAGATTGCTCTTTCTGAAGTGGTTGGGCCTCATCTTATCAGTTGAGGTTTAAATAGACAAAAAGGCTGACCTTCCATGGAGTGAGAGACAATTTTTCTGCCTGACTGCCTTGAGCTAAGACACCAGTTTGTTACTGTCTTGGTCTTAAATTGTGGCTTTGGTTCTTCCTGGTTCTTGAATCTCCTGGCTTAGACCATAACTACACCACTGCATATGCAAGGCAAGCACTCTACTAACTGAGCTATATCTCCAGCCCCTTGATTCTGTTTCTATGGAGAAATTTCTTCCTTTTAATCAAAATTTAAATTAGGAGATGGGGGCTGGGGATGTGGCTCAAGCAGTAGCGCGCTCGCCTGGCATGTGTGCCGCCTGGGTTCCATCCTCAGAACCACCTACAAACAAAGATGTTGTGTCCGCTGAAAACTAAAAATAAATAAAATAAAATAAAATAAAAATACAATAAATTAGGAGAGGCTCTGAAAACAAACTTATTTATTTATTTATTTATTTATTTATTTAATGAACAACTCACAAGTGTTCTCAACCAGGAAGATTTGCTTTCAAAATAGATCTCATTCTGGTCTATAAGATATCAGTAATCTAGGGGAGAGATGCCTTCTCCATGTATTTGCCTCATGAAAGTAGATACATATTTCATCTTCCAATGAGACTGACTCTTTAAGAAAGTTTTGATTATCCTCATAAGTAGGAGACTCTTGGGGTGCTCAGTGAGAAGGATAAGTCAGCTATCCTAGGGGACAGGTCTTTCCTCATTGGACAGACTTGATGGTTCCAAGGGTCCTTTTTACAACCAGATGTTTATTTCTTTAGGACAAAGACCTTCAGTCCCTTTAATAATTTCTCCTGCATCATCTTTGAGGAATTTAGTCAACCTGAAATGGGAGTGAAGTTTGTTAATGTTCCTCTTGAATCTGGTTCCAGATATGTCAGTGCTCTCTATGTCATGGCCCTGTGGGGAGACAAGATGGCTCCCTTATTTAGACACTTCCATTCTAGAGCATCAGCTACTACTGGTCTGGAGACTTCCAAGGCTATTTGATCAGCCTCTCAGACCAATGTAGCAAAGTGCTCTTCAAATCTGTGAGCATCCATGCTTTTACTTGGGATTTGTTGCTTTGTTATTGTTTTTCTGTTTCTGTTTATTTTGCTGTCTTTCTTCTTGTAATTCTTATTGAAACTAAAAATATAGGCAACTGAGTTATTTGCATTTCATAGCAAACTAGTAATTTGAGAAAAATTTTCCCTCTTATTCTATTTTCTGTTTACCCTCATGCTTACTCCTATTTCCCCTTCCTCCTTCCTCTAAGTCATGCACGGTAATGTTTTGAGAAATTGAAAACATGTCCTTGAAAAATAGTATTATTCATATGTGTATTTCTAATTTACATAAATGGCCCTATGTTAATTCTATTATCTTTTAACTTGCCCTCAGTTTACATCAATTTTCCCTGCAAAGTCCTTGGTATGGTTTAGATAGGAAGTGGTGTTCCCCAAAATCTCATGTGTTAGACAACACAAGAATTTTTAGAGATTAAATGGTGAGTTATGAGATCCTTAACTTAACCAGTACATTAATCCACTGATATGGATTAACTGAGCAATAACTGTAAGCAGGTAGGGTGTGCCTAGAGGCAGTAGGTCACTGGGGCTACTACACTGCCTTTGGGGTTCATATTTTATCCATGGTGAGTTGAGCTAAATCTTTCTCTGCTTCCTGGTTATGAAGTCCTGAGCTGCTTTCCTACTCCACATCCTTCTGCCATGTTGTTCTGCCTCACCTCAGGCCCAGAGCAATGGAGTTGGCCCTCTATTGACTGAGACCTGTAAAACCCAGAGCCCCAAATATACTTTTCCTCCTCTTCATTATTCTTGTCAGATCTTTTGGTCACAACAATGAAAAAACTGAATTAAAATAGTCCTTTACACCATTGCCATTCTCTGTGCCTTTACATTCTTGTAGTGAATCCATATTGTTCATCTTATTTGATTCATAATATATTTGCCTCATATTATTCTCCCTTCTAGCCAGAGTGTAAGCTTCTTGAGGAGAGGCACAGTAGTATTATTTTCTTAGCACACAACTGTGCTTCGCATATTTCTTAACATATTCATAATAAATAAATGAATGAAATCCCCCACAGAAACCAAGCAGCCAATTTCTGTTTCCAATTTTTCCACATTTCCCTTTGTGAATGAGAAAATGGCCTACACACCTCACGAAAAACATTGATATTCTGCACATCTTCTAGGTAAAACCCCCCAAGTGGCTCAATACGGCAGAACCATTGATGTCATTGGCGATGGTTTATGCATGCAAATAGATGTCTCTGAAAGGAGGTCAGCTCTGAGAGCTGACTCAAGAGAGATTTGGACTAGTGAAGGAATACTGCCAAGTAGCCTAGGAGAAAGCTAAAAAAGTTGAAGCAGAAAGAGAAGAAAATGTGACAAAGAGCTCACAAAGGTACGTGGTGACATTTGGGTAGTCGCACAATGTAGGCCGTGTTGGGAGATCCAAATATACCACCACCTTTGTAAGAGAAAACAAAGGAGATCATACCAGGAATTCTGATGAGAATCCCATGCTCCATCAACCTGGTATGATGCTGAGAGCATTGTCCCTACTCAAAAATGCTCTGATAGAACAAAGGGGGAAGGATTACAGGAGCCAATATGTTTTTGTTAAACTCTTGCACTGAAGCCAGATTTGCTCGGGGCATAAAAGCTCAGTTTTATGAACTCTGATCATCACTCTATCGAAAGAAAATTCAGGATGTTATTTTTTTTTCTTTTTCTTTCCATTATCCGTCTGCTGACATTTTTTGTTTTCAAAAAAATGTCCCTTTCCATCTGGGCCTCAGTGACCTACCCTGGGAAATGGAGTAGATATACTTACCACATTCCTGCTTCTAAAGATACGGAAAATTAATTGGTAATTTTAACGAGAAAGCTTCATCTTTTAGTCCCTTCCAGACAATCTAGCGTTACAATTGATCACCTAGGTGATGATTTAAGCCATTCAGTCCTTGTCGTTCTGCATGCACTTCTCTTCCAGCTCGCCTTTGAAAGAAAAACCAGCCAGTTAAAGCATCAGCTGGAACTCACTCAGCTCTCAATGACTGCAGAGTGAAATATAGCTCTCAGCATAGAAAATGTCCTTCCACTGCTCCAATAAATAGCATTCCATTTCAGCCCCAGGGAATTTAGTGTAGCCCTAGTTACCCCTCATCGCCACAGCCATCATTGCTTCCCTGGGCAGCAGAAATGATTTATGGAGGCCGTAGTCATTCCAAACTTTAATTAAACACATAAGGAGCCATCAATTTTTTTTAAAAGGGCACCAACCCAGAAAGATGCAAGCTGAACTCCTGGAGAACACTAATTACCTTTCCTACATTTTATCTTGTTTCCTTATTTTTCTTCAGCAGGGGCTAAGAGACAGCCAGTCCACCACCCCCACAGGTAAGCTCCACCTTCCAAAAGCCCTGGTTATTTGAAGCATTGCTCCAGAGGTCTGCAAACATCCTCCTCATTCTTGTTGCTAATCTCTGTCTGTCTCTCTCTCATCTTTGCAACACAATCTTTTGGCTACCATGGCAATAGGAACCATGGCAATGTGCAGGTAAATAATTTTCTCTTTGAATAAGTAGGTAGGATATAAAAATAAATAACAGATGATACAGGAACCAGATCCTTTTCAGTGTCCAACTTGGAAGGAGAATATTTTCAAATAATGTAGCCAAACCACCTGACAAATTAGTGAGTTTTAAAAATATACATTCATTTCCTTGGTAGAGGGGTTACAGTTAGGAGGAAAAAAAAGGAACAAATAACTACATATCTGCAAAAGAGGAGCTCCCCAGATGTTGTCCACACTTTGTAATTGAAAATGTTTTCATTCAGCTTCAATGAAGAAAAATCAGAAAGAAAAATCAGGAGAAGGCAGATATCTAGTCATATTGGAGTTCAAATATCAATAGGTAATGGTTATCAGTTACATCTCAGTGGGGTAGACCCAGGTATGGAGCAGGAGGAAACAAAATGTTTCACATGTAAGAAGGCAGATGATGTTCTGGATATATTGTCTCTATATGATTTTTTTTTTCTGGAGATCTCACTGTGATTGACATAAGTCAGATGACCTTCTGGAATAGTCACCTTTGTTATAATGCCCACTTTGCTTTAATACTCCAGTATAGACAGTGTGATATAATGAACACTCTAGTTGGTTTAAGATTTAACCATTTAGCTAGTTGTTACTCAAATCAAGAATTCATGGTCCAAGTGTGGTTAACTCATGTCGTACCAAAAGGACTGCTCTACAGGGACAGTTACTCTGTGGGCTTCTATCCTTGATCAGCCACCATTGCTTACCTAGGCAACCCACTGAATGTCAGGGGATTAAGGATGAAAGAACAGCAGCTCTTAACTATTTTGATAAATGTTAAAATTGAATTTCTTTGGCTTGATTTTTAAATAGCCCTCTTCAGAGCCTGTATTAGGATGAAGCATGCTAACTAGGAGTCTGTGGTGCAAGTCCCCCACTCTCAGGATGAGCAGTATAGGGTAGGCACCTGACAATGAGTAGTTCCCTCTGGTGCCTTGCATCCTTAGTCCTGCTCTGGTTGGCCATTTGTTTAGAAGACTCTCTAATTATTTGATGCTCACTCCAAGCCTTCAAATCCTGTCTCTGGAAAGTTACTGTGTCTGCCAAAAATTAAACCTTTCATGTAACATTTGGTCAGAGCCTTTGAAAAGACTCAGCTATGAAATCTCAATAGGCATAGAGGACAATGTATAGGAACTGCTTTCTGACTGATTGTATGCATGTCTGCTTACCAGCAGGTTTTGTTCTGAGACATCAATTTTTAATAATCAAATAGCAAGGTTTTTGGGGAAGAGCTAATCCTCATCTAATTCAAGCTTGTTGGTGGCTACTGTTGCTTGCCATGTACAACCTGAAAGCTCTACTTGATTAAAATAACCTCAGTCCTTCCTCATTTTTGCTGCCATCCCTTAGACACTTGGGTTACAAACAGCAGCACACAAATGAAGATCATCACTAGCTCAATGGATGGGGTTCTCCTCAACTTTATCATACCTCCGTGTGGAATTAAAATGGTTGATTTTAATTGATTAAATGTGCTGTACAAATTGACATTTCTCAAAAAAGAAAAATTAAGAGGCACTTAAAATAAAACAAAACTGGCTGCTTAATATGAAGGGCTCATTAATTCTTTTTTTCTGACTCTGAATCTATGATAAACATTAGGCTCTCTCTGATTCCCCCCAACCCCCAAATTTAATTTAGTGGAAAAGTTTCGATAAGTTAGAGAGATGAGCCTTTCTGATGCCAAGCCCATCATGACTAAGCAGGGCTCAGACATGGTAGATTTTTTTTTCTTCATCCTCCTTTTGGTCTTAAGAGTCCATGGATCCATATGAAGACCCACTCTCTGGTATATCCTTATGTTCTTCCCTGTCACGAAAATGCTGGTTTTCAGTACTGCTCAGGACCCTATAAGAGGTCAGTTTCTAGTCAATCAAGGATCATCCTCTGATGGAAGTTAATTTATGGTCTTATGTTAATTCTATTATCTTTCAACTTACCTTCAGATGATGGAATTACCTCTGCAAAGACTTTCCCAACTTTTTAATTCTCTGTGTCTTCAATTTATGGAAGGAGTTAGGGCAAGCCTGAAGTAAGGAGGAAGAGTAATTAGAAACTTGAATATTTTCTAATGATGACTGATACCTTAGGAGAGCATTGCACTTCCATCAGTGGAAAAAAAAATACACACACACACACACACATTTATTTATTTATTTTATTCTAAGGACCCTGTGAAATAGGTATTACTATAAAAGAGGAAATATAGGCAAAGAGAGGCTGGATAAGTGTCCAAAGCTAATAAACAGTGCAATTAGAATTTAGGAAAGCTAGCTCCAGAGTCCTCACCTTTGGCTACTACACAGTATTTAAAACTATAGTGTCTTGCTCAGCAGGCAGGAACACTAGAGTTAGACAGATGATTCAGCTGCAGTAGTGCAGAGTTCTAACCAACCTAACTCATTAGTCCACTACTTGCCACGTTTAGTCACAGGAAACTGGAGAGAGAACCTGATTTCCATTCTTATTAACAAACACCCACTTCTTTTGTCTTCTTCATCATTAAGTCTATATTTACCTTACGGAAATTATGCTAGCTGCTCAGAGAAGTGAAAGAAAACAAAATAAAACAACCTCCAGAGAAAAACAGAAGAGAAAAATAACATCCTTGTTTTTTCTAGGTCTGTCAGAAATTATCCTTTCCAGCTATTTGAGACTGAGGAGGCGGAAGCTGTAGTCTACCTTCTTGAATCACAAGGACAATAATGACAAAACACCAAAGCGGAGAGGACCAATTTGGAAGAAAATAGTTTCCCTGAATTTGCAGATGCTAGATGCCATCCTAGGAAAATGTAATGCGGGCTACATTTCTGACACAGATAGGCAGGCCTCACTGTGTCAGGCTGAAGTCATGCAGTTTCTAGGCCCTACTCTGAAAATTTAGTACAAGACAAAAAAAAAAATTAAATCCATAAACTGGAGTCTCAGCATGTCAAAACATAATATAGAATGCCTATAGCCAAAAGAAACGATCCCAAATAAGTGAATGATTTCCTTTCTCTATTTTAATTTTGGGAATTTTTTCAGCTTTTCCATGCTCTTAAAAATATGCTCACTCACCTGAAACCCCAGCCATGGAGCTTCAGATGACTTGGCTGATTTTAAAGAAAGCCACATTGTTTGACACTAGTCACGTGGAAAGGTAGAAGTTGTCACCCTGTGACTGTTTTGACAAGTAGGACACAATGAAAGTGTTTTACTGTATTCTTGGACCCAGATGTAAGAGACTGGAAACTTCATATTTGTCTTCCTTGGAATATTAGCGCTTGGAGCCCTCAAACCATCACGCTGTGAAGAAGCTCAGACTAACAACATAGCAAGGCCAAGTGGGGAGAAAGAAAGATGATAGAGATAAAAGAGAGAGAATGGACGGACATACATCCCATCCCAGATGTCAGGAATGTGAGTAGACAGCATCTTGAATGTTCAACCCAGGAAAGTCTTCATGTAGCTTCAGCCACAATGGTTATCTGACAGCAATTAAGAGCAAGGGCTAGGGATGTGGCTCAGTGTGTGGCCCGGGTTCGATCCTCAACACCACATACAAAGATATTGTGTCCGCCAAAAACTAAAAAATAAATATTAAAAAAATTCTCAAAAAAAAAAAAGAGTAAGGACCACCAAACTGAGCAGTGACTACCCACAGAGCTATGGCAGATACTTATCCACTTTAATTTTATGCTCCAAATTTTGGGATAGATTATTATGCAGATGGTAAATATGGAAAAGACTGAAAACTTTAAGGCATTTAAAAATAATTTTTTGGATCCTTATTTTCCTTTTTTTGAAAAGCTCTCATTTTCTCATCTCTACTTAAACTAATCTCATACAGATGTCTTTTTTTTTTTTTTTTGTACCAGTGATTGAACAGTTGGGAGTTTAACCACTGAGCCACATCCCTAGCCCTTTTTATTTTGACATAGGGTCTGGCTAAGTTGCTCAGGGCCTTGCTAAATTGTTGAGGCTGGCTTTGAACTTGTGATCCTCCTGTCTCAGCCTCCTGGGATTACAGGAGTGTGCCATCATGCCTAAAGATGTCGTAAAGATCTAAATAAAAATCAATTGATCAACTATAAAGCACAATAAAAGTATGTTATTATGCTTCATATTTTATTGATAAATGACTACTGGAAATTATAGCTGTTTACAAACTCAGACATTAAGGTAGATTATTGGAAATATTAATTAAAATTTGAGAAATTAGGTATTTGTAATTTCCTGTGTATATAGCTAGGAAATTATATCAGTCATCTCTATTATAATGAAGTGCAGATGTCTGCAATACCTTATGATGTTTCTAGAAGATGCTAATGCTGGCATCAATAAGCAAAAATGCTGACCAAGTGTGCACTGTTGTCTTTGATAGCTTCAGAAAGTTCCAACTGTCAGCCACAGTTGAAATTCGCAGGTAAGAGCAGGGAGAAGTCAATTGCAGGTGTTTTCTGGTAATGTCAAATAAGCAGTGCAGGGAACAGAGACACTGCACCAAGGGGGGTTGCTTACACCCTAATCAAAAAATGACTTCAGAGTAGTACTTCCCACTGACAAAGCAATTCTTCATTATTTTATTTAATTTCTCTTAGTTAGGGTTGTTTAATTGCAAGCAACTCTGCATGATGCAAAACCAAAATAATTTATAATATAGGCCAGCTCAGAGAAATGAAGGAAAACAAAAAGCAGGCTATGGACAGACAGATGGTCTTTGAGGAGGGATGAATGGCCACTCCCTTTGATCCCTTAGATTGGAACTATGGTTTTTTGATCAACATACAAATCCCCAGGTGAGAGGGTCTAAAGGGTGATTTGGGTCACAGACTCCTTTGGTCCATGGCATTTACGCCCCTGATGGACAGTCCTATTGTTCCATTGAAATTGCTTATGATCATGAATGGGGTGGCTCTTCTTTATTCCCCAGAAGCACACTGTGAGATGAGGATTTGTGTGCTAATGATGCTTTAAGGGCTGCTGCTGGAAACCTATAAGGATGTTGGCAGTAGGACAAAAAAAGGAGAAAGTGAACCAGGAGTGATCTAAGGAAAAGTATGCACAGGGTAGCTGCATCTGATTACGCAGGGATGTTCTAGGGTATAAGTGGAGCCTCAGAGTGACCCCAAACAAACATTCACAGTCCTGTACCTTACAGTAGACACAGGAAGACCTGCATAAGGCGGGTGGAGGCAGAGCACAGAAAGAAGTAAAATGGGAGTAATGGGAGCTACACATCTCCAGAAGGAAATCGAGGCACAAAGAAGCCAAGCTGGGCAACTAAAGACAATAAATGTTCATGGTAATATTCAACCGATTCTAAGATTACAACCAGTTATTAAAGATCAGGGAAGTCAGGTGTCTTGGTGAATTAACTGTAAGACCAGAACTTCCTAGTTCAGTGTTTTTTTTTTTTTCCTTGTTATCACACCCTATAGCAACTGGCTTCATTGTTTTGTATATTTAATTTGTATTCTGTTTGCAGAAATAGCCAATTGTTTTGGGAAGGTCAAGAAAGACTGTCCTAAAATGTAGATACAACACTATTCTCCCACATCCTCTAGTTAACATTTCAGTCCCTAAATAGCTTTCCAACCCTTTACCTTCCACACATGTTTTTTGGCACCTATACTTCATGAAAGAAAATAAAGTCCTGGGGAGGAATTCAAAAGGTTTTGTGAGGGTAGAGGCATAGATCTACCCAGAAAAAATAGATAATTATGGGTACATGAGAGGGCAAAAATCTTCACTCTTTTGCCCTTGAATATTTTTTATCCCTTAGCATATTGATAGCAGAATGTAAAAACATTATGGAAGGAGTGACCATTGTTCCATTATTGTCCTGTAAAACATAATTTCAAATGGCCATTTGAATGTGGAAAAGAAACATGCAAATTGTATGCAAAATATCAAGGTCAAGTTTTTATCAAGGTTAAATGTGTTTTCAGGATGGAGAAGAGCAAATAGAACCATAACCTGGAGAATTCCTGGTCATCACAGGTGAGGATAAAACTTCATTGCCATTCAAGGAAATGTTCTTGGAGGTGGGCTCACAGGAGATTTCTTAGGTTATGAAACAAAACAGAATTTCCTTGGCAAAATGAAGGGCCATGTTTTGTTTTGCCCATGAATCCCACATGGTTGGAGGTAGCAAGAAGAGGGACACAACATGAGCTGTGGCTCCAACCTCCTGGGATGCTCCCTACAGTTCCATCCAACTGTGTCAGTCAGCTTTGTGTACTTTTGACCAAAACATTCAACAAGAATAACTTAGAGGAGGAAAAGTTTATTTTGGCTCATACTTTCAAAAGTTTTAGTGCATGGTGGGCTGATCCCATTGCTCTGGGTGGGTCCAAGGGAAGGCAGAATGTCATTGCAAAGGGGCATTGCAGAGAAATGCTGCTCCACTCATGGTGGACAAGAAGCAGAGAGCTAGGTGGGGGAGAGTCCTCAGAAAAGCTGGACCTTCCCAGAAAACATTGCCAGTGATCCACTTCTTCCAGTCCTGCCCCACCTGCCTATAGCCACTTCCCAGTTAGTCCATTCAAACTAGGATGGACTGATTAGGTTGCACCTCTCACAATCCAATCATTTCACCTCTGAACATTCTTGTATTAACACGGGGGCTTTGGAAGGTCACTTCATATCCAAACCATAACAGAACTTAATTTACACTTTGCAAAGTCAGAAATAAAGAACAGGAATGACTCTCGAGCAGTGATTTTGCTTAGACAGATTTGAGGTTTTTTAATAGACAATTACCGTGATTGGGACCACTATGCTACTGACAACCTCCCAAACTCCCTGCTGTTGTGGCAATTCACATGTGCCCTGTTCTCCTTTGTGTCGGTGATGATCACCTGTAAGTTGAGGGCACGGATGAGAACTACCTGCGGAGATTTTTCACACTTATCTGCACAGGTCCGCTCTGACTTACTAGGGACAAGGAGGATATGAATACTGAGAATTATCCTCAGGATTTCTGATGAATTTCCTCCTCTTGGTTATCTCTAAACCTGTCGGGTAACACATTATTATGACATCCATTCCTGCTGTCTAAACTCTGCCTTGTTTGTATAAGGACCGACAACCCAGTTACTTCATTCTCTCCAAAAGGCTGAGTATTGAATATTTGCAGAGGACCACAGGGATACCTGAGAAAGTTTTATTTTTATAAAACTTGGGGAAAGAAAATAAAGTAAGGGATTCAAAATTATGTTACGAAAAATTTTAATGCTGAAATAATAAGATTAAGGGCCCACAATGAATGCTCTTGAATACCCGTGCCTTCTCTCCACCTGTGTTCATTTTCTCGCTGTCCCTCATATTGTTCTACCACAGGTTGACAACCTGAGGCTGACCAGCTGACATTCTCTGCCAATTCCCTGGAGGAAAATCCCTGTTGCCCCTTCCAGGTATATTTTCTATGACATGCAATAGAATCTCATTCTGTATTCCAGCCATAACGGAAGACCTGGCCCTGCTGTTTCTTTTCTCTTCATTAACATATTGTCTGACAGCTTCAACTTGGATACCTGAGCCAGTAATGAGCACACTCCCTCACTGGCATAGAATAAGGGATGGAAATTGGCACAGGCAATTGCCAAGGATGTATGGCGTATCCTTTCAACTAGGTGAAGCTAGGACCCTTTTGAAATATTTGGTTTCTATTTAAACAGAAAAAAAAAAAAAGATTTTACAGTGTCTATAAACAAGTACAACCAGGACATAACCCCTTTTAAAAAAATTATTACAGTGGACTTGGGTACATTATTTTGAAATTTTGAGGCACACATAGGTCCTCTCTGTATTGCTGGCTTGAAGATGTTTTTCTGTCCCCATTACCATCTCTACTTTTCAAATATTGTCCTTGCCAATTCCTTCTTCTTCTGTCTCCCCTCATTACTTCAGATAAGAAGTGAGTTGATTTACTTTACTTGGTTTGGACTTGATTGAAAACTTCCCATATGTTCCCTGGGGCTACTGCTTGGGACACATTTTCATCCCTCATTCTAGTCAGTTCCTATAAACTCTCCCTCCCTTTGACTCGCTTCCCCATCCAGGTCAAGCTTCTTTGCAACCAGAACTGTGCAGTGAAGTAGGAGCTGGTATTGTCTGGCTTCTGTGATGGCCTGTACTTCCTCAACTTCCCCTGTAGAATCTCTCTCTCTCCCCACTCCCCTCCAATCCCATGCATCCTATAGGAGGTAAACCTGCATTTAAATGTAACATTATGTACAGGGGTTTTAACAAATAAATCAAACAGCAGCAGCTACCCAGAGCCAAACATCTTGAGAGAATTTCAATATAGCAATGAAAATATTCTGTCTTATGTTAATTTGTATGGGTGTTAAATTCTCCTCTTTTCCAGCTGGAGCCTCATGAAGGTAGAAAGCTGGGTGGGGAAGATACGGTGCTTCTCCCTTCTTTTTGGGCACTGTGACTTCTGAACCTATTCAAGTTTAAGATGACATGAAAAAGACAACAAATGGGGCAGAAACATTATAAATAGGTTGATATTACTATAAAATAACTTAATATTGTCTGAGACTGGAAAATGTTTAAGTTACATTTTCTTTTCAGTACCTTTATGAATTCCTTGGGTTCCCAATGAAATCATTCATTTGTATTTTTTTTTTTAAATAATGTATTGGTAGACTTTTCTATCTAGTCATTTCCATGTTAGTCCACCCCAGGTAGACTCTTTTCAGTGTCCTTCTGGTAGATCCTCTTGGACAGTAATCCCATCCAGTTCTTTTGGGCATAACCTCTATACTCTGTCATTTTTTGTTCTGAAATAACCCTGAAAAGTACCTTTGCAACATACCAACTCTCTT